TGTGTGTGTGTGTGTGTGTGTGTGTGTGTGTGTGTGTGTGTGTGTGTGTTAAATATATTCATATATGTAAGATTGTTGTAAAGAATATAATATTATAAACAAGTGAAAAACATAATAAATGAAACTATTGCAAAACGATCTTGCGCGATAACCTTACATTACGATTTCAACGTTGATGGGGCAATTACTGATATTGCGTAAAGCATTTTGCCTTACAAGCGTCACAAAGTGACAAACAAATGATAGCATTCAATGACCCTTTCGTCATAAGAGTGCATCTAGATATTTTTTGAATGTTGGAATATTGGAAAGATCACACAGTTACGTAATGTTCACATACGTAATGTTCAAGAATATATTAATTTCTATTTCTTAGAATTTTTAATAAAAATATAATATATTAAAACTGCATGTTCTTTTAGCAAAAAATTTTTTGAAGCCATAATCACTGAGATATTTATATAGAAAATTAAAGGTTTCTGGTAAATTAAGTTTTAATGATATAAATAAAATGTACAAATTGGTGCATATGATTTTAAGTAAACTTTGACTTGACAAACAGCTTTTCAGAAACAAATACAGAATATAATTCTTATATAATATAGAAGTAATACGTAATATAACTGCTGTTATACGTTGTTAATATTGAAGTTATTTAATTTTATTTTATAATTGTAATATAACTATGTTTTAAAGTTGTTATATTGCTATTGTTATGTATAAATTATTATATAAAATTGTTATCTGTTTTTACAGATTATAACAGTATATAACATTATCATTTAAATATAACATGTTGTATAACAAGTGTAGTGTTTATATTATGTTTAAATTATGTAATATTTTTATATGCAGATTGTCAGATTGTCTTTTAGGGAGTGTCTATTTGTTGTACATAAATTATGAATTATATGCATTAACATATATGAGTACGGTGATCACGATGTAGCAAAACCTATACCATGCAAAATTTGTACCTCTTATAGCATACTTTTTAATTAATGACGATTACTTTTATCAATAACAATCGTTGGATTATTTTGCTTGAATAATAAAAAAATATATTTCATATTTTGCGTCGTGTGATTTTGATCCTATAACAATTACTCATCTTTTCTTATACTACGTTATCTGCTGTTTTACCTAAACTGGAAATAATGGTGCCGAAAAGTTATGATACTTTGATGGATTATACTTATAATATGCTCTTGTATTACTCAAAAACTTATACCATTCAAAAACTATTGTAACGGTATATTTATTGGAAACAACGCAACAACAATCGGATAGATTGCAACTGATACTGATATGATATATATCAGTGAATCATTAACAACATAATTGCTTTTTTAATAGATTTTAATAGATTTTAATAGATTTTTAACTAAATATTATAATGAACTAGAGCAAACAATAAAGTTTGAGAAATACAAGTTATGAAATAATTTATATTAATTATGAGTAAATTGATGCTTCTTTCTTGTTATTAGAAAATAATTCACAAATAATTCATCATAAGAACCTAATAATACATCAGTGATTATTACTGTTGCTATAATCACTGAATTACTCTGTAGCATTAGTAATCCCTGTAATTTAAGTACTCAAAATCTTTAGTCGCTAGCAATAAAACTACTGAACAATAGTAATAAATTACTTACCAGTAATACTTACTAGTAATACTTTTCTAAGAGTACTATATATAATTTTTTATATGAAATGATTATTGCATTTCTAAAAAGAAATTTTTACAAATTAATTGATATTTGATTAATAACTTGCAACCTCTTTTATAGAAAAATATTACTGGTAATTACTAAAGAAAATAATATCGGTTAATCACTGTGGAATAGTTTAGTAATTATTTATTGAATTACAACATATAATACATTTTTTGTTGAATTTCTACAAATTTATTTATTGGAAAGGCGCAGACAATTTAATGTTTGATTATTTTGCTTAAATATTAAAAAAATTGTAGTAATTTATATTTTGTATCGCAGTATTCAAACGTATACCTTAGCATGGTTTCGATTTTGATTCGTCTTTTTTTTAAACCGCGCTATCCGGTGTTTGACTAGTGGTTTGCCTGTTCTTTTCAATTGCACTGCCTCAATGATGCAATAAGTTAAAGTGAAATAAAATATATTTATCTTATTCTAACTTATTGCACCAGTGCAGCAGTGCAGCTGAAAAGAATAGATTTTCAGAATGATTGAACAGAAATCGATAGTGCTAATGTGTTGTGACGATACTTTGGTGGATTATGCTTATAATTTATTTGTATATCATTTAAAAAATATTGTAACGGTCATATTTACTGGCAAATGTTGGAAACGACGCAATAATAATTGGAGTGCAAGTGATATTGATATATATCTGCGAATATATAAGAGATATATAATATATATCTGCGAATTATTAACGAATAATTACTTTCAGACTTTTAACTACACATTTTAATGAACTACAGTAAACAGTAAGTTAAATTCAAAGATACAATTTATGAAACAATCCATACTAATAATGAAAAAATTTATATTATATACATATATTATATTTTTATATTTATCTCGTTATTAGAGAATATATTATTAGAATTTATACAAGAATATATTATTAGAGAATTTATGCAAGTAATTTATCACAAGAACTTAATAATATCACTGATTTGTGATTATTATTGCCGTCGTAATTACTAAATAAATTACGCTGAAGCATTAATAATTTTGCACATTTAAGTATTCAAATTATTTAACTATTTATTTAAGTTGTTTAAGTGTTCAAATAATTTAAGTAATTTAAGTATTCAAAATCTGTAGCTAATAAAATTATTAAACTGTTCCTCAGTAATAAAATTACTGAGCAATAATCATTTATTATTCTGAACAAGTAATAATACTTTCTTGTAAGGATTTTGTATGCAATTGTATACTTATGATTGTTGGGAAATAGTAATTTATATTCCAATTATATAATATTAAAAAAATGTTATTTTATAATAATAACGAAAATTTAAAAAATTACTAGAAACAATAATGCTATCACAAAAATTTTTTTAAAGAAATTTCTAAGAAATTATTAGACTAAAATTCTTTTAAAAAACACTCGATAACTCTAAAAGAATACAATAACTTTAAAACATCGTTGTATATTCTATAGCCTAGAATATTGGATTTATTTTAATCGGATTCAATAAGTCATTGCTTCATTTGATTTCGTCACTTGTCATATTCTTTTATCGCTTAAAATAACTTCACCAAATGATTCTATATATCAGAGTTCTATTTATCAAAGAGTAATGGTAGGGACGATTAAAGCTATCACGGTTTGATATTCCTAATCTTAAATAGTTTCTATGTATTCAACGTCTACGTTTCAGTCGTTCATATACATTCAAGATGGATATTCTGAAGTTTTATAAGGCACCTGGATTAAAAGTAGGCCAACTGAAAAATAAACTGCGCAAGGTGTTGGAAATCGAGACTTCAGTGATTCTTGATCTTGAAACTGAATTATGTTATTACGTGGAAACGGAGCCACTCGAAGAAAAGGAAATTTGTACATTGAAATGGATTTTGGCACCTTCTTTTGAACAAGAATGCTTGCGACGTTATAGTGTGTTTGATGAAACTGAAGATCATTCTGTTGTTATTGAAATTGGACCCAGGTAAAAATTATTTTTGTGGTACTCGAGTTTTGTTTAGTGCATAGTAAATTTTTTTGTTTCTTAATGAATTTTTTATGATTTATTATGTACATTATTTTTATATTCATATCAGATTAACATTAACTTATACTTTGAACATAACTTTTTTTTTAATGAAAATACGAATCTGCGATAAAATAAGCAAAAATGTATTTTGAACAAATTTTTTTATAGGTTGAATTTTTCAACAGCATTTTCTAGTAACGTCGTTTCTATATGTAAATCTGTCAAGCTGAACAAAGTGAAAAGAATAGAAGTAGCAATTAGATATAATGTTAAATGTAAAAAAAGATTTAGTAAACAAACGGAAAATGCCGTATGTATAACTTTTATATTATATGTTTAGGATAATTTATACTAAATTTATACTTTATTGAATTCATAGACTTTATATATATGGACTGGTCATTGACTATAGTTTCTGTCGAAAAGTAGTGTCCGGAGGAGGAAAAAGAGAAACGTAATTTTCAGAACCTCTCTGTCTATACTTTTCCGGAAATACGTTTCGCGCATGTCAATAGAGCTGTTCTTTTTTGCTGCATTGCTGCACTGGTGCAGTTAGAGTGAGACGTACACACACACACACACACACACACACACACACACACACACACCCACACACACACCCACACACACACCCACACACACACACACACACACACACACACGCACGCACACATGTATACATATGTATACACTCACTCTAACTTAATGCATCATCTTAAACATCTGCATAATATAATTTATATTGCAATATGTCATGTATGCTGGAAAAATTTTAGTTTCATAATAAACATTAATTAATTAATAATTAATTAAATATAAGAAATAATAGATAATAATAGATAACAGAGAGAAAAAATATATAAAATAAGAAAGCCCATTCGTAAAAACAAATTTGGAACTAAGTGAAATTTCTAATTTTATATAACTATTGACATAAAATATTAAATAAAACAAAAATTATAAAATAAATATTACAGTTTTCATAAGGATGTATTGCTTTTTAAACAGAATATAAAAGTGAAAGTAATATGTGAATCAATTGTAGTCATGTCATATTGAATCAATTTTAGTTATTTGTTGCTCAAGATTTTTTATTGCTTCTTTTAGATTTTTAGTAATTATGGTGTAAGTTTCTTGTAACATTGCAGATAATTATATGTTACATTTATTTCAAGATCTTAGTATATAAAACATTATTTATATAGTTGTGCATAAAATTGAAAGATATTTAAAAATATAATTAATCTTGTTGACAAATAATAATTCAGAGGGATTCATGCATGGAAATAAGAATACAATATACAAAGTTATACTCAGTTTCTCTTTATTCATGTTGAAATAAAATTAATTTTGTAAATTTTTGTCTTTCTTTTTTTTTCTTTGTTATACACTTTTTCAAAATTATGAAATCGTATGTTAATATAATATTCTATAATACTTATAATTAATTGTTTTTTATGATTATTGTATGGTGGCTGAGACAGAATATGATCATTCATGTCTAAAAAGACACAAGGTAATACATATTGTACAACACAGTTTACAATTACAGGTTTAATATTTGCTTTGAAAATGTCACTTTGATATTGTCTAATAATTTTTTCTACCCATGTACAAACATAAGTAACGTTTATCTTTTGATAAACTAACTTTTAAACACTAACATACCCCTAACTTTTTTTAATAACAATAAGTTGCTTGTATCATTTGCTTCCAAATATGTTTTACATACTGTGCACAATATTCTTCTTTTTAATTGTTTAACAACAAATCCAGCTATTATTATTGTATTCAGTAACATCAGCAACAAATATACTTAAAGAAGGAATTTTAAAAACATAATTATGATCTAATAAAACATTAGTATTGATATCTCTTTGCTCATTGTTTTTATCGATATTATTAATATCATTTGCATCATTATGTATCGAAACGCACACTGGTAATATCTAATATTGTACAATTAGCATATTTTGATTCTGATATCTGATGATGTACCAATAATTTTTTGTAAGCACTTTCAAACTGAATACATGTTGGATTGCTGTTAAAATCTCCACAGCTTCGAACTGCACTGAAGAATGACTCCAAGTGGTCTTGTAATAACTTATGTAACTTATGTAAATATATAAGTAAATATCCTAAATATTTTTTCGAATGCAAAGTTCGGTATAATTCAAGTCCGTTTTCTAAGCAAAAAACTTCCAATAAAACCAGTATGTCGTGTTGAATGTATGTTTCTACCACTATTCTCTTTTAAATTAGAAATGTACTTTTTAAATGTAAATAAATTAATTGTATATAAATTTTGAATACTCTTTTATAGTATCGTTATTAATGCGTTGGTTAAAGAGTTTCTTAGAAAATTTATTTCGACAGTTTAATATATCAAATGCTTTGTTCATCAGCGAACAAAATTCTGCAGTAGGTAAAGCTCCTTCAAAACCATCATATTTTTTCTCTACGCAATATATTAATGCTTTACCAACGCTATCACTCAAAACTTGTACTGCTAAACGAACATTCATTTTTTAGTATGATAATTAATGTGACGTCCACTCAATTTTATAGCAGTTTTAAGTCTTTTTTTTCTTTATTATAAAGAGCAATGATATACTCCCATTTTATTAATTCTTTTTTCTTATTAAGGAGTACTTTTCTCTCACCAAAAGCATTTCTTATTAATTTTATATAATGGGAAGGATCCAAAAATACAAAAATATTGTCTCCTGTTACAGGATGGCGAAAAATAGGAAGAATTATTAAAATTAAAAGCAGCACCTAATTATGAATACATAGATTTATTGACAGGTACTCCATTTAAAGTAATTGAATATACATGATATTTTGTATCATGTAATAAAGATAAGCAAGTCTTTAATAAATTTGCTCTTTCATTTAAACTGTCAATGAAAATTTAACCTGTCATTGGCATTTAAATTGTCAATGAAAAAATATCTTAATGATATTTTCCAATGACTATTTAAAGCAACAGCAAGAAATACTAAAGCATTTTTTGTCAAAGTCAGATCATCGTAAGCAAAATCAGAACCTAAGTTAATAAAACCTGGAATACTTGGAATACTTGTAACCATCCCAATGAATATGTTGTCAAATAGTCATCTCGTCAATGACGAGATTAACAACAACAACTCCTTTTTGTATTTTGTGCCGAATAGAATTAAAAGATTCATGAGTAAATCCTGTTTTTCCATCAACTGTCTCATATCACCTACGTATTGTACGCTCGTTAGGTAATAAATTGTTAAAAGATTTTCTAATTTAAGTATAAACTCTAGCAGAATAAAAGTGTAACGTTATAGCAAATCGCCTCAAGTCAGAGCTAAAAGGGGTTTTCTTCACTTCTGACAAATGTCTTTTAATAATATGTGCAAGTGAATCAGATGCTGTCGTCTGCATAATGCAAGAAAACAATAACATAAACAGTGTGCAAAACAAAATTTACCACTTCGCTATTTCTAGTGAAAGAATTTGCATTGTTGTCTAAAACATTAAGTAAAAGTACAGTACAAAAAATAGGTACTCAATTATGTATCATACTTATTATATAGACTATAAACAGTGTTTTACTGTAATATACAAATCTCCAAATAAATTGCGATCTATAAAAGTAAAATTATATATACAAATGCAAACTGTGGTTGCGTTCGCTCGCGTCCACTTGATCTTAGCTTCTAATCGTGCTCGCAGGAGGAGAAGGGTACGCAAATGATAAGATCAATGATTAATTCGCATATTTATTTGTTTACATGTGGTGGCGTGTGTAAGTTGGGCATTATTGCTTGGTTCCGCACCAAGGTCTTATCCTTGGTTTTCGGCTTCGTGGAGTAGGTGTGCTCAACCGGACCCACTTGCGTGGTGAGGAGCCGTGTGCTCTAAAGGCCTCCGGGCGAGCGGTGTACGGCCGTCTTTCTTGGCGAAGCGTCTCATGGGCACACCGACGCGGTCTGAGTGGCCCTGTCGTGAGTTTGTCGTGGTGGCGGGGGTGAGATCTTAACTCCGGGTCCGCGTATCGTGGAGAAAGTGGCCGCCTTGCCCTGACGTCTCAAGTGTTCAGTTGGTCGAGTGGCCTGGTGCGCCTAACAGGCGAGAGGCTCAAGGGGTGGAGGCGCCATGGCCTTAGTATCTTCACCAGATATCCGCTCGGATCTCGAGCAGGCGACTGCGTGGAGGCCCCGGCGGGTAAGGGCTGCGACGTGGTCTCCCGGAGGGTAACGTTGACTGGAGCGGCCGTTGCAGTTCCACGTGGTCTTTTCCGGGGCGATGGAGTCCTCGACAGTCGAGTCGGCGAAGGCGTCGCGGACAGCGACGACCAAGTGGATGATGGAGAACTCGGAGCGTGGATACTCACTTCCTCCTCCTGATCATCCTCACTGTCCGTGCCGAAGAGGTCACGGACATGTTGGCGGAGCGCCTGCCGGCACGGGTTTTTGGCCTCGTTCAGAGGCCGTTTTCGTGCGGTCTTCAGACTGGTGCGTTACTCGGCGTACTAATTCTCTCCTTGTGAGGAGGATTCGCTAGTGCTCCTCGTCGGAGTTTAGCTGGCTTGCCTTCGTTCTCTGGAGACTGTTCTCTCTCGAGTTCGAGAGCCGATTTAAAATACAGGGCATCTCGTCCCCTATTTATACTCCTTTTCGTCTTGAGTGTTTCCTATCCGTGTGTTTTAATTTTCTCCGAAAAATTGTGAGGTCCGCGGTTCGTCGAATTGATGCAGGTCTCACGCTTCCGCGAATTCGTCGCGAGGCTCGCGCTTACTGCTGCCCCACCGCGGTTCCTAGAAACGCGTCGCAAGCTTCGCGCTTCTCGGAAGCGCGTCGCAAGGCTCGCGCTTCTTGGAAGAACGGCGCGCGTAAGCGTCTCGCTTGTTGAGACGCCACACAAACTATAAAATAAAATCATTATTATTACAAGTATATAAACATGCGTGCGTGCAAGCACGCACGCACGCACACACACAGGGAGAGGGAGAGGGAGAGGGAGAAGGGGAGAGAGAGAGAGAGAGAGAGAGAGAGAGAGAGAGAGAGAGAGATATTACCTATTTAAATATGTCTTATTTTCCCGCAGAAATTGTAATGGAACTGCATTGTTTTTCAATAAGCTACGCTTTTCATGCCATGTTTTAAAATGTGAAGAATTGAAGTGACGTGAACGAATTTTACTTTGTTTCTTTATTGTACTTATATTGCACGCTTCCATCCATTATTTTTTATATTTCTCATTTGTTGGAAAACTGAAATTGTTGATGTTTACTTTATATAAAATATCCCAGAACATCGATCCGTTGGAAACGTACAACAGGTAAAGGTTGAGGTCAACAAAAGTTCCATACTATGTTGTGGTACTTGCAATAATCATTAACTTAATTATTAAAATATCAGGCAATGAACATACGTGTCAAATCGATCGCGCTGGAACTTCACGCTAATTTTTTTCTTAACCTATTCTACGTATCTAAAGTGCAAAATTATGAATTTATATGTCAGTGTATAACAACTAAAATTTGTTTCCTACTTACGAATGAAAAGAACTATTTTTCGTTGAATACTTACGAATGAAAAGAAGCACTATTTTTCGTTGAATACTTCACACCATAAATAACACAACTTATTACCATTATTATTAAATATAGAATCCTCAGATTCGTTTTATAGCCGGCGCTATTCAACCTTAGACAATAGATGTGTTTACGCCGTCATGTACGCAGAAACTATATCATGTTGCGTACAACCAATCAGAATGATCTATTCAGTCAGACATGCGCAAAACATATTTCTGGAAAAGCAAAGATAGATAGGTCTTGAAAAGTACGTTTCTCTCTCTAACCTCCTCCGAACACGGTCTGCTATGTATTAACTGTCCATATATATAAGGTCTATGATTAAATTGAACTATTATTAAAACTATATGAAATTATAAATGTTTTTAGATATTGCTTTCCAAGTTATATTATTATATTACTTAATTTATTTGTTAGATTGTTGATGTATTAGGTGATAGAATGACAGAATGCAGGTATGAGAAACCTATAGAAACATTCGATCATGGCTTTAAACCAGAAAAATGGTTTACTGTAGATGTAATGAAAAAAGGCAAGAAGGCTTTGGAAGAAATTAATACAAAATTAGGTGAGTAATAATATATAATGATTTAAAATTTTGACCTTAAGGGGATATTCTAGTGTGAGTGTGAAGGCCCGTTTTCAAAGCGATTTTTGGGAATTAATTTAAAGCAAATAGTTAAACCTACAGAGTTAATGTTTTGTACTGACATTTCCTCATCCTTGAAGAAATATGTCAAATTTTGTTAAAGCTTTATATTCAAAATTGAAGGAAATACAAATGGACGAAACGAGTTATGTTGTAAAATTGTCTTCCATCGGGCGAATTGATTGTCACCGTCTTCATCATCTGAAATAAATGAATTTGCGTTTATTTTATTCTTTATGAATGTGGCTATCGTCCGAGCTAGAATAAAATAATTTGAAGGAAAATTGACAAAATGGCGGCGTTTGAAAAATAGTAGTCTGATTTTTACTAAAAAATTCTAACTGTTCGGAGTCCGGGAAAATAGTAATTTTAAAGATATCAAAAAGATTCTAGTTCGAGCGATAGTCGAATATATGCACTATATGTGTGTAAAAGCGCAAGTTGATCGGCTCAGTAGTTTTCAAAAAAATACTTGCCCGATTTGAAAAATGTCGTTTTGAGAAAAACGTGTTTAAAGATTTTCATGCATTTATGAGGTGGATAATGAGTAATTAGAATAAATTATCCTTAATCAACAATCACCAGGACCATACAAGAGACCTTCCTCAACTTCATAAAACCCACGTTTGTCAGCCTCTTCTTGTCTCTTGGCAATTCTTGCTTTTTTCGACTCGTGCCTGTTGCTCCGAACGTTTAACGCGTTCGTTGTCTCTATTATGCGCGAGGAATTTTGCATTTTGGCTGATTTGTAGTCTCATTACGTCCATAATTTTTAAAATTGTATAAAATCCTTCATTAAACAGGCAAACAGCCAAGAAAGTTGCAACTTCTACCGTCTTCTTTCCACAACCCTTATAGAAATATCATACTAAGAATCATTGATAATTACTTATTATCCAGTATTTTTAATACTAAAAATAAGTAATTATCAATGATTCTTAGTATGATATTTCTATAAGGGAATGCAGATGTTTAGGTGCAATTGTCCAAATTAATGAATTTAAACTTTCGTTATTATTCTGAGTAAATAATCCGAGGCATTGCTGTAATAAATTATGAGTAGTTAAATTTTCGTAAATAGGTTGGCTGACATTTAATATTTCGTCATTCATCTCGTAGTCGACGCGCCGTATAGAGGCTGCGTCTTTTAAACCTTTATAACTCGGTCAATTTAACGAATTTCATCTTAATATTTTAGGGATATATTTTTAAGACTATAAAAACATGCAAAAAAAAAAAGAAAAATCGATTTTTGGGCTTCATCACACTAGAATATTCCCTTAAGGGGATGCTGTACGCGATTGCGAACTTCGAAAACGTTGGCAATGTAGTATGCGTAGGTTTAGGACAGACGCTAGATGATAGTGTATGTTCGACTAGCGGCTAAAGTCACTAGATATATAAAGTACCGCAATTATCCGCCATATTTATTCCAGCCACACGCGGTTGATTCAAAATGTCTATATTTGTATGAATATGTTGCGTAAAGTAGAAAAAAACAATAAATAACGTTTATCACTTTTTTTTATTTGTATAACATTTAACACTTGTAACACATAATAAACAGCTATTTCAACAGCTACTTCATAGAATTGCACTTAATGTGTAGATAAGTTACACGTTTGCATTAGATACACTTCCGACGCCATTTTTATTCCAACGTCGTAACCACGAATTGTGGTACTTTATATATCTAGTGACTTTGGACGCGGCCCCATCAGCGATGGAATTTCGATTGTAAGCAGCGCAGAATTGCCAGATCTAAGAAGCAGCGTTGTTCTCTCTCCGCTTACGTATTCAGAGCCAATTTGTCTATCCATGTGACGATCATCGTCACATAGATCCTATCACTGAACTCTGTATGAACCGTAGAGAAAGGATAACGTAATCAATCGAGAGCTACGTACATACCCAAGCAACAGTAAGTCGATTGTCGGCTGGTAAAAAACCGGCAAAAGAAGTCTAAAGCCGACTACACACCTTACTGATTGCCGACTGCTAGTCGACTAACAGTCGACAAATGTCTCGATAATTGCCGACTATTCGAAAGCTATTGTAGCCGGCTCTTTTTTGGCAGCTTTCTGCCGACTTTAAATCCCAACAGAAAGCCGGTTGTTTCTTGGCTTTCTGCCCACTGTAAGTCGACTTTCAGCCAGTTTTCAGTCACCTTTTGGCCAGCTTCATTTTTTACAGTTTATTCATAAAATATTAGCAGTTTTAAAAACTGGAGCAATATATTTTCATTATACTTTAAATATATCACTATTATATGCAGTTTATGCAGCATTCACATCGCGTTCGACGTATGACGTCCAACATCGAATAAAAGAATAGCTTTCCAATGGAGAATTTAATTCTTTATTAGAAAGCTGTTCTCTTATTGGATATCAGACGTCGTACGTCGGACGCGATGTGAATCTTGCATTAATCAATGATTCCAGATTTGTCCTATTTTCTCATGCAGAAAACTGCTTTTGGAAATTGTTCTTAAAAATAATTTGAAATGAAAATAGACAAAAGTGGAATGTTTTACTTTAACTTGTATATATACAGGGTGTTCCGCGTAAGACGTGCTAAAAGAAAAATATAAGTAGAACAGATAAAAGTAAACAAAAATTGCAGAGGTAATTTTTCAAACAACCACGTAAAATTTCGAGATATTAATAAAAATAATCAATATTAAATGTAAAGAACAATAAGAGTTAAAGCACAGGTTTAATAGTACTATTAAAACTATTAAAAATAGTGACCCAATCTCCAATGAGAAGAAATTTATTAATCATCAAAACAATCAAACGCGTTTCGGTCTAACTTCACAGACCATCTTCACTGATTACAAATAAAAAACGAATTATATTTAAGTGTCACAAACGTAAGGTCGCAAATAATCGGTATAACAAAGGATGTTTTTACAAAAATTGTCGCTACAAAATTTGCTTACGGGAATCGGAAGCACAAATGCAAATACAAATAGTCATTAAGACAAAGAAACCTCTCCCTGGAAGACGGAAGGTATTAGTCAGTAAATAACTTGTTGTAAGATTGGTCACTCTATCGCACGTACTAAGATGCTGTGGTGTAATTATTTAAAAAACGTATTAAGATAGAGTAACCAAACCAAGTCTGAGGAAAAAAAACAATGATAAATACCTCAATAATAGATAGTAGAGCTCCAAGGAGATGTTAAACTACTAAACGTGTACCTCCGAATGCCGCAAGCAGCACAGAATCATGTGTTTATATTTACTTGGTACAAATTGCAGACGAAAACAATTAAATTCAAACCAAGCAAAGTATTATAACACTTTTCCAAATTCTCAGTATCAGTGAAGAATTTAGTCCGTATGTCTGCATTTTAATAAAAATTATCTCCGCAACCATTCTTTTATAAAAAAGGCGTTCTTTATGTAAAATTTTGACACTATCCCATCTAAATTCATGACCACACTTAATACGATGCTCCTGGACAACAGAGAGCTGTGATGTAAGGTCCCTAGGTAAACGTTTCAGACATACGAATAGAAAGCTTTCTGCCCGTTTGACCAACATAAGAAGAATCACAATCATTGCACTCCAACTTGTACACAACATTATTATGAAGATTCTGAAGTAGTATTAGGACCTTAACTTAGTTTCCGCCCAAAAAATACTGAGAAAAAGCATTTATTGTAAAAAATTTATTT